AAAAAAAAAAGCAAATACAAAATCAAAATAGTGTTATATCTATTGAAAAAAAATTTATAATTAAATACATTCATACAGAGAAAAATATGGGCCAAGATGGTCTAACTGGTGAATTATGCAAGTTTAAGGGGTAGGATGGGGAGAACCATCCTCAATTCTTACACAGTTTTTTCCAGAGAATAGAGTGAAGGAACACTTCGCAATTCATTTTATGAAGCCACCGTAAACTTGGTACCCAAATCTCACAAAGATATAGACATAGATAACCTAAAGAAAATATTAATATTTTGATTCCAGCTATATATTGAAGGGATATTCTATCACAACCAATATAGATTTATTCTAAATTAGATTTATGCAATGTTAATTTCATATTTGAACATCAGTTAATGTAGTTCACCACATTAACAGATTAAAGGAGAAAAAATATACCTATCTCAAATGGCAAAATTCATCATCCTATTTATGAAAAAGATATCGAACAATATATGAATGGAAGAACTGTCTTCACTTCAATAAAGGATTTCTAAAAAACCTACGTGTACTGGGCAAATATGTTGCAAATGACCTCTTTAAAGTGTTAAAGAACAAAGATGTCACTTTGAAGACTAACATGCACCTGACCCAAGGCATAGTATTTTCACTTGCCTCATATGCATGTGAAAGAAAGCTGGACAGTGATCAAGGGAGACCCAAGAAGAATTGATACGTTTGAATTACGGTGTTGGTGAAGAATATTGAGTATACTCTGGACTGCCAGAAAAACAAACAATCTGTCTTTTTAGACATACTGTCAGAATCATCCTTAGAAGTGAGGATGGTGAGACTTCATCCCTTGTTTTTGGTCATATTTTCAAGAGGCACCATTCCTTACAGAAGGATATATATCATGCTTGGTAAAGTAGAGGGTCAGTGAAAAAGAAGAAGACCCTCAACAACATAGATACAGTAGCTGCAACAATGGGCTGAAGGACAGCAATGATTCTGAGTATGGTTCAGGACTGGGCAGTGTTTTGGTATGTTGTAGTTGTTGGACATAGGGTTGCTGTGAGTTGAAACTGACTTGACGGCACCAAACAACAAAACAGCATACTTAATGGTGAAATATTGACATTTCTCCCCTAATATTGGGAATAAAACAAATATGCCCACTTACCACTCCTAGTCAGCATTTTACTGGAGATCACAGCCAGTATATAAGGCAAGAAAAAGAAACAACTAATATGGATTGGAAAGAAATAAATCTATAGTTACTGGTGATATGATCAGTACAATTAATTGTCAGACCTTGACAAGTAAGAATAATCTTCAGATAAACTATTTGAGTAAATGATGTAGCATAGTCAGTAGATTCAAAATTATTATTCAAAAATAAATATATTTTTATATTCCAGGAACAAAATATTAGAAGTTTTAAAGTTAGAATATTTACAGTGGTATTAAAACCTTAAAAACCCAAGACTAAATCTAACAAAAGATGTGTAAAACATATGTACAGAAAACATGTCAACAAATAAATAAGGCCTCAATAGTTGGTATATATCCTGTGCATGAATTGAAATACTCAATAATTTAAAGACATGCATTTGCCGAAAATTAATCTATAAATTCAAAGCAATCTTTATTGAAACCCCAGTGGGGGTATGTTTTATATAATTGGACAAACTGATCCTATAGTGGAACTGCAAAGGACTTAGAATACCGAATATCATCTTGAAGTGTTCAGTATTTAAAGTAGAAGGACTTATACTACCAGATATCAAGCCTTATTATAAAGCTACAGTATGTTATATAATGAAGTATAAGTACCAAACCCATTAAACTCAGTACTATTATACCTTTCTCCTATGAAGCTGCTTGTGGGTTCAAGCAACCAACTTTTTAGTCCATGGCTGAGCACTTTAACCACTGAGCCACCAGTGCTCCTTAGTATAGGTGCCACAGTAGACAAATAGTCAGTGAAAAATAATATGGAGTCTAAAACCAAACCTATATGTCTGTCTTTATAACACTGATGCCACTGCAAACCAGTGGTTAAGCATGAACCTTTCAGTAGTGAGTCTGGGTAATTTGATATTTATATGAAAAATAATGAATTTTAGCCCATCTCGTACCATCACAGAAGTCAATTTGAGATGACATTTATTTAATTTAAATGTAAAATATATAGCAATAAAGTTAGAAGAGACTAACCTAGGAGAATATGTATGTTCATAACACTGGGATAGACAAAGATTTCTTAAAAAAGATATAAACCACAGAAATCTACTTCCATAGTGATACTGCCTCGGAAACCCAAGGAGGGGTCACTATGAGTTGGGTCCGACTTGACAATACATAACAACAACAAATCATAATTATATAGTTAAATTGAGTAATTGGATTATACTGTATATTTTTTGCAAAAAGCATCCTCAAGTAAATAACACGCATACATATAATGGGTGAGAATGATGAAATATATAAAAAAGTTTTGGCATAGCTTGCCCATACATACCAAGTTCATGTTTCGTGACATTTCCAGAAGTGAATTTTGGCCTCAGTCACCCCCATTCAGTAGTGGAAAAATGTTACTTTTGATCATATTTGTACAGTAAAGGTATAAGCCATGGTCAAGAAGTCATGAATCAAGTTTGGTAGTATCCCAGTGATCATAACATAAACAGATGAAACTGCATTTGCTCCAGGGCAGTTTGCAGCGGGGCCTGATAGAACTGGAGTGCCTTGTAGCTAATCTGTGACCATTATGTCATGTTGGAGACAGGTTGGGCAGAAGGCTTCATGTGCAGCTGTCACAGCCTTAGCACAGGCTGGTCCTGCAGTGGACAGAGGCTGTTGCCTGCATGTACCTGGGTCCCACAGTACTGGCCCCGTGTGAAGCCAGGTGGCAGGACGTTGCAGGTGGGGCTGGTCAGAACCATTTTGTCTGAGTGAGGATATGGAACTCTCTAAGCCTACAGCTATCACGTCTGCCTTGTATCTGTGCAGGTGAGAGATTCAAATGACCTGAGTGTGGTGGCTGGCATCCAGACAGCAGGGTAGAATGCATGTCGCTACGGCACACCAGCTTCGCCTGCCTGAGTAGCCTTTCCAGGCTCAGGTGCACAGACTCACACACCTCCTGGGCTGGGGCTGGCAAGGGATATTTCCTGGGTGGGAAAAATGATGTTTTCCTGCATTGGAGAAAGTGGTTTGCAGAGCAGGGAAGGAATCCTGCCAGGAGAGGGGCTGCTTTAGAAACTCAGGGGTAGGCTGGTGAGATCTGCTACTGGGAACCAAACTTTCACATCAGCATGCACCAAGACAATGACTTAATATTAAATATGTTGCACAGAAAAAAATTGAAACTGAGGTCAGCAATATGTAAAAAAATATATATATATTGGTATAGCACACTTCCAGCCACTCCTCGGAAGGAAGGTTGGGCAATCTACTTCCGTAGTGATACCGCCTCAGAAACCCAAGGGGGGGTCACTATGAGTCGGGTCCGACTCGACAGCACATAACAACAACAACAACAGCACACTTATGATTATAAGGCATGGGGGGCGCACAGTATGCAAAACACATAATGCATGGTATTTGTGTAAAAATCTTGTATTAAACTTATCTGCTTTAAAAAATCAAAATATACTATTAAGAGGATGAAAAGGCAAGCCACAAAGTGACTGAGGATATTTGTAATACATATATCAAAGAATTTGTGTACAAAATAAATAACTACCAATCAGTAAGAAAATGATTGACATTCAAAACATGAGCAAAAGGTACTTCGCAAAAGAGAGTATACATTATGGCCCAAAAGTATATCAAAAGGTGCTAATAAAACTCATTAGTAAACAAATATTAAAATACAGTGGTACAGATCAGGGGTTATCAAACTTTTTAAAGGACCAGGCAGCAAGTTTTTTGGCTTTGTGTGCCATGTGATGTCTATTGCACTATTCAACTCTGCTCTTATAAAGTGAAAGCAGTCATAGACCATATATAAACAAAAGAGAGTGGCAATGTTTCAATAAAACTTTACAAAAACAGGTAGTGTGTTAGATTGATCTGCTGGCCATATATTGACAATCTCTGTTATAGACACTACTACATATTGATCATACTAGCTTAAAAGAAGTATTGGTGAGGAAGTTGAAAAACAAGAACTCTAATAACCTTCTGTTGTTGTTGTTGTTATGTGCCGTCAAGTCGGACCCGACTCATAGCGACCCCTCCTTGGGTTTCCGAGGCAGTATCACTACGGAAGTAGATTGCCCCATCTTCCTTCTGAGGAGTGGCTGGGGGGTTTGAACCGCCAGCCTTCTGGTTAGCAGTCAAGTGCCTTAGCCACTATGCTACCAGAGTGGGAGTGAAATTTGATAACAACCACTTGGAAAAGTGGCACTATTTACACAACCTGGTAAAACATATTTTACCTGGTATATATTTACCTGGTAAATAAATAATTTAAAAAATGTACCGTATACCCTATGAATGATCATTCTTTACTATATACTCTGCAAAGTGCATACATAAATACACAAAAAGAATTTCATGGCAATGTTATTTATAGTGGACAATAATTGAAATGGCCCCAAAAGTTTATCAACAGAATTGATCAATAAATTGTAGCAGCTTTAAACGATGAAATGTTCCACAGTAGTGAAGAACTACTGCTACATGGCAAGGACATGGATTAATTTTACAAACATATAAAGTCAGATTGAAAGAAACACTATATGTTTCCTTTTAAATTAAGGACAAAACTAATCTATATTTTAAAGCATCAGTTCTCAAAGTGTGATCCAAGGACATCTAGGAATCCCCAATATCACCATGAGAGAGGTACTGTGAGAGTATTGACTAGGTGTCATGAACTTTGTTTTTAACAATATAGCACATTGGTTCACATTCTGGAATAATCAGATGTGTATTGCTTGGTTTCCAGCTATATCCTGTAAAAATCTATTATATCTATATTATTTTCTTGACAGTATATTTGTCACTTTGACAGGAAGAATCCTGTCCATTTTCAACACTTCAGCCACCCTGGTGATGGTGATTATGGAGGTGTCCAAGTCGTGCATCAAGATGAGGCTGATGACCGCCCTGAGTGTCCCTATGGAGCATCTTGCTATAGGTATGCAAACCTGAAATGTTTGCTTGTCCTCTTTTATTCCCTAAACTCTGATACTCGTCAGTGAGAAACTCTGGGCAGCTTTTCATTTCAAGCTTCTTTAACTTTTAGGTTTTTTTAACTTTTAGTTTTCTATAATGCAAAACCTCCAAGTGTGTTGTTGTTGTTATGTGCCGTCGAGTCAGACCTGACTCATAGCGACCCCTGCTTGGGTTTCCGAGGTGGTATCACTATGGAAGTAGATTGCCCAACCTTCCTTCCAGGGAGTGGCTGGTAGGTTTGAGCCGCCAACTCATAGCAACCCTGTGTACAACAGAATGAAACACTACCTTATCCTGTGCCATCCTCAAAGTGTTGCTGTGCTTGAGCCCATCATTGCAGCCACTGTGTCAGTCTTTCTCATTGAAAGTCTTCCCCTTTTTTGGTGACCCTCTACATTACCAAGTATGATGTCCTTCTGCAGGGACTGGTCCCTTCTGATAACATGACCAAAGTATAGGAGACAAAGTCTAACTGGCCCTTTTCACTTCTAAGGAACATTCCAGCTGTATTTCTTCCAAGACAGATCTGGTTGTTCTTCTGACAGTCCATGGTATTTTCAATATTCTTTGCCAACACCAAATTCAAATGCATTGGTTCTTCTATCTTCTTTATTCATTGTCTAGTTTTCACATGCATATGAAGTTATTGAAAATACTATGACTTGGGTCAGGCAGACCTTAGTCTTCAACGTAGACATCTTTATTCTTTAACACTTTAAAAACCTTTTGCAGGAGATTTGCCCAGTGAAATAATAATGTTGTTTGATTTTTTGACTACTACTTCCATGGGCGTTGATTGTAGATTCAAGTAAAATTAAATCCATGACTTCAATCTTTTCTCCATTTATTATGTTGTTGCTTACTGGTCCATTTGTGAAGATTTTTGTTTTCCTTTAAGATGCTGGCATGTAATCCATAGTGAAGGGTGTAATTTTAGATCTTCATCAGTAAGTACTTCAAGTCATCTTCACTTTCAACAAACAAGGTTGTGTCATTTGTATATGGCAAGTTTTTAATGAGTCTGTCTGCAATCCTGATGCTGCATCCTTTTTCATATAGCCAACTTCTCCCATTATTTGCTTGGCAAACAGATTGAATAAGTGTGGTGAAAGGATACAACCCTGATACACACCTTTACTGATTTCTACAACATGCAGTATCCCCTTGTTCTGTTCCAGCAATTGCCTCTTGGCCTATGTACAGGTTCCTCATGAACACAATTAAGTGTTCTGGAATTCCTATTCTTCACAAAACCTGCATAGATAATTTTTTAAAAAAACTTTTGTTAATAGGTAGGATTATAATGTTTTGTCTAGACAATTCTAAATTGATGATGCTATTAATGTTATAAATGCCTGAAATTGTTTCTCATTTCTGAAATGCAAATCAGATCATTTAAAAGCTGTTGGTGCCACCTCATCCTCCACTCCATGAGGCTAATGTGACATAAATCCATTCATGATGTTACTTCTGCCTCTGTCTGCTTTTTCATCTCCCACTACTTATTCTCACCAACACATGGAACTCAATCCTAAAAGAAGAATAAGAATAACTCTACTCCCTGCTTTCCCAGCCTCTGAGCTTACATGTATCATGCACAGAATAGAATTTGTCTCATAAGACTGTACTTGTTTCTTTATTGGAATATCTCCCCGTAAGCAGCAAGTTTCTTGACAGCAGTGACTATCTTTTATCCTTTTATCTTGTACCTTTGTGTAATCAATGAATGAAGTTGAAATGAACTATGTTACCAAAGAAAAAATATAAAAATATTGGTTCTAACCTTAGTTATAGATAGCTATCTTTCTTAATTTTGAAATACAGGTTACTGAACCTACCTGCTTCTATAACATTGTTCCTAATTCTATGATTATGATAAGAAGACATAATAAGCTTTTAAGGCTGGAAAGAAATGAAAAGGCCTTATGATTTGAAAAGTAGGTGTTCCATGCCAGCTGAGCATCTTGCAGATAATAAGAGAATATTATGATCAATTTTGTCACAACATTTGAAAATTTAGGAGATATGTACAAATTACTATAAAAACACAACTTTTAAAAACAGATACAAGAAGAAATAGAAAGTAAATAGTCCTGTAACATTCAAGAAATTGAATATATAATCAGAGCCTTCCTCCAAAGAAATTCTAGGTCCATTTGGTTTTAATGGCAAGTTCTACCACACACTTATCTTCATATGTACTATTCCAAAGAAAAAGGGTCTGTAGTAGCACAGTACCTAAGGCATTTGACTGCTAAGCAGAAGATTGATGGTTCAAACCCACTAGCCACTCCATGAAAGGAAGATGGGGCAGTCAACTTTCATAAAGATTTACCACCTCGGAAACCCAGTGGGGGTCGCTATGAGTCAGAATAACCTTGATGGCAGTGAGTTTGGTTTTACTCGAAAGAAAGTAAAATATGTTATATCTCCTATCTCAATTTATGAAGCCAGCATAACTTTTATACCAAAATCTAGCAATAATAATATAAAAATAAAAACTACAGGACAGACTGACTTACTTTTGAACTTAGATGTAAAGTGTAAAGACCCTAAAAAAGATATTAGTTAAATAATTAAGCAGTAAATGAAGAGGCACATATGACTAATTTGGTTTTATATAAGGAACGTACATTTTAATATTAAAAAATAATTTACTACATAATTAGAATATGTAGAAAAATCATGTAATAATCTCAGTAGCTGAAAAAAATATTCTGACAAAATCAAGCAATCATTTATTATAAAAACTCATTACAAAATAGGAATATAAAGGATCTTCTTTAATATCATAAAGAATATCTATAAATATTTATAGCCAGTATCTTAGAAGTGAGATATTAAAAGTTTCCTTTTGAAATAATAAATGAGACAAGAACATCTGTTATCATTACTTCTATGCAACTTTGTGGAGATTCAAGGCCCTGTAGTAAGGCAAGAAAAGAAAAATGGATAAAGATTGGAAAAGAAGAAATAAAGCTTTCAGTGTTCACAGATAATATCACAGTATACATGTTGTTGTTGTTATGTGCCATCAAGTCAGACCCGACTCA